GAGACGTGGGGGTGGGGGGGCGGGCGGACAGGCAGGCACCACCACGGAGCCCATGTTGGGGGAACTGTTTTTTAAGGTGGCTCCTGCCAGCACCTGCTCCTGCTGTCCTCCCCCTTGTTGCTTCTGATACAGCAGGGGGGGTGGGGGAGGGATGCAAGTAGTCAACTTAATTGTCAACTAGGCTTATCGGTTAATTGTCTAGTTGAATACTTGTTGACATCCTTAGTCAGAAGATAGCTAATGAAATAGAGCTGTTATTGATTCATGGACAACCCAGTTTATGAAGAGTGGCTTTTTTTTCTATTCATGCTCAGTCACGATTTATTGCTGCTGTACAAATGCAGACATTTGGCTAATGGAATTGTATGGTGGGTCAGTAACTTGCAGGCCACTTCACACCATTTTATAGAGCACTCCAGGGGTGGGTTTCTCCTTAGTCATGATGTAACCATAGGTCCATTCTAGAGTCTAGGATGTTCTGTGTGTTTGTGTCATATCTAATCATTTTAAGCTCAAATACTTAGAGGTGTAAGTAACTTCCACTATTCTTTTTCTCATGGTTTGAGCTTCATCTGCATTAGCCTGATGATTAAATGAGCATTGAAATCATAATCTTTAAAGTTTGTTCCATCAGAACAGAATTGAGGACCATTGGTCAGCAATTGTCCCAGAGTTTGTACTTGCCTGTTCTGGGGAAAGAAGGCTTAGGTTCCAATCAGAGCATTAAAAACCTTTCACAGTTATAAAAATACAGTAACTGGTCTTATGTGATGTTGGCTGGGATTATAATAAAGGTGTTCATTTAATCTTCCAGAAAATCAGTCCTAGCTGGTTTTGGGTAAATGGAAAGCCTGGTTTGGAATAATACGTTTTAGCTGGCTTTGGGTAAATGGAATACCTAATATATTAAAATTCTGCTGAGGTTATTTTGTTTTGTTTAGTAACCCCTTTAACAACAAAAATTTACATGAGAAACAAGGCCAGTTTTAAGAAATAAAGTTGGTAATGAATTTAAAATTACTTCTCATATATTTGGAATATTTTTTTCCCACAAATCTAAAAATAATGTTGCTGCAGGACAGTTTATTAGAGGTATTGATTCACTGATGTATTAAGTTATTTGATAAACAAAGCTATTAACACTATTCAATGAAAAAATTTGAAACAAGTTTAAACCCTTTAAGATAAAATTCAGCACTCATGAAAGTAATGAGCTGTTTAGATTGGCTGGAGCCAAATGTAGTGTAGGTTACCATAATGTATAATTCTTCAGAGGTCAATGAATTTTTCCTAAATTAGGTCTACGACTTTTCATTGAGTAACCACACTCTTACACTTGTGATATACTGGTGATTGATACACACTGGAATTTAGTCTGTTATGGTGTGGCTGTAATTTGACAAACTACTTAACTCCAGAAAAACTTTATATTAAGATTACTTCTGTATGGGTATGTCTACACAGCAAAGTTTTTCGAAATAACAGCCGTTATTTCAAAATAACTTTGCTAGTGTCTACACAGCCAAATTAATTTTGAAATAGTGGAGCGCTTATTTCGAATTTGGTAAACCTCATTCCATGAGGAATAACGCCAAATTTGAAATAGCTATTTCGGAATAAGTGCTGTGTAGACACTTATTTTGAAATAGGGGGCCTCCAGCCTTCCCAAGGTGCCCTGGTGGCCACTCCAGCCTCAGCCAAGAACACTCCTTTCCCTTCCCCCTCCCCGGAGCCCTTAAAAGGGTTGACACTGGCCACAGTGCCTGTCCCAGCTGCAAGCCTGCCAGACCAGAACCAGCCCCATACCCAGTGGCCCCAAAATATAAGCCAGCAAGCCATTGGCAGCCAGCCCTCCACCGCTCCCCAGGAGCAGTCTGCCAGCTCCCAGGAGCCTGTCAGGGCCTGGAGAAGATGGGCGCCTTCTTGGTCCAGGGTGGAGATCATGGACCTTATTCAGGTTTGGGGACAATGCCCCCAATATCCAGGATCGCCCCACTAGATGGGAGAACGTGGCCATCTATGGCAGGATAGCTGCCAGCCTGGACACCAAAGGCCACATGTGAACCCAGGAGCAGGTTTGCATGACAATCAAGTTGGTCCAGCGGAGCAGGTTCGCATGAAAATCAAGTTGGTCCAGGGAGACCCCCCCAGCCCTGAGCTTTCCCCTCCCCCTTCTTCCACTTGCTTCCCCCTTCCAGCTCCATCCTCCCAGGTTTCCCACTCCCCTCTCCTACCCTCTTCTCCCCTCTCCTGCCTCCCTCCCCCCTCCCCCAGTTTTGTTAAATAAAGAGAGTTTGTGTTCATGAAAATACATGTATTTTATTTGACATCAGGAAGGGGGATTAGGGAGGGGTAAGTGGAAGGACGTGAGGGAGGAATGAGGCACAAGCCCCCAGTAGGGCACACCAGGGAGGCTATTAGTGCTCCTCAGGGTGGAAGCTCTCCCGCAGGGTCTCCCCGATGGACCCTCCTGGATGGCAGCTTGCAGAAAGTGCAGCCAGGCTCACAGCAACGTGTCCACGAGAAGCACCAGAGTGCCCAGGGGCAGCTCTGGCTCCATGTTGCAGAGCGTTATGGTGTCCTGAGTGAGGGCAACCAGAGCACGCAGAGACGACAATGCTTTGCTGTCCCTCATCGAGGTAGACAAGCAAGCAGGGAACCTGAGAACCAGCTGTCTGGTGGGGGAGAGGGGTCCCTTTAAACACAGGCCTCAGATACTTTGCATGGCTGCTGCCTGAGGCTAACTTCTGACTTGATGCCCTGCAGTACCTGGTTCCGGCCAGCCTTCAATGCGATTCTCCGTCCACTCAGTGTGGATGCACTATTTCGAAATAGCAAAACGCTATTTCAAAATGCATTTTGCGTGTAGATGCATTATTTTGAAATAACTTATTTCAAATGAACTATTTTGAAATAAGGTATTTCAAAATAATGCTGTAGCGTTGACATACCCTATGGGAGAAAGATGAATGCCATTTATAGTTCTATATCTTTCTTTGCCATGTACTTACGTCCTTCTTAAGGTAAGAGTTTCCAAACAAAAAATAATCTATATAAAAGTTCAAAGAGGCTGCAGCGATTTAATTTAACTACCTTTTATCATGCAAGCATGGACTTATTCAGAATCCCATCTACCTGACTGAAATATAAAAAGTTTTGTCACTTTTGAACACAGATGGAACACCTATCATGTAAGTTAGTTCAGAAAAACCTAATGTTCACTTACCAAGCTGAGTTCTAAGTCTTAAAGAAGGTTATCCGAGGGATCCAAAAAAGGTTCCTTACCTCTGCCATAAATAAAGAAAACATTGAAACCTTTTCCATTGGACATAATGTTTTACTTTATTTAAAATTAAGTTTGATCAACTAACATGTGAAAGTTAAAATGCTTAATCTGTTTAATTTAAATTAAATCATTCTCTCCAGCTGCAACACTAGCAAAATAGCTTGGGTGTAATTATGTAATTAATGGTGAGTGTCCATTACCAATGGGTAGTCTGTGGAAAGGTTTGGAGAGGGCAGGGCTTCAAGAAAGAGGTGGGGTCTCGGGGAAAGGATGGGGTAGATCCTGGCTTGCCCTGATATTTAAAAAGTGATTTTGGGTGTAAAAAGGTTGGAGACCACTGATCTAGTATATTGTCCTATTAGAACCATACTGTCAATGGCTTGTAAAAATCTTAGTATTAAATCTTACTTAGCAACACACAAGTATATATAAGTTTTGCATCATATAGTTAATTCTTGAGGTGAAAGACCTAGTTAGACATTGCTTTTATTCTCACAGGGAGGTTTGGTTGGGAGGGAAATAGCTAACATGCAATGACCTTAGATTTGAATCACATATTAATGCAAATTGCCTGTTAAAAGATTTACTATCTATTAACAGTAATCAATTTCTCTGAAAATGTTTTTTTCCCTAAAGACAGAGGCACACAACTGTCAGTCAATATAATAGTCAATATTTTGGTTCTTGGCTGCCTGTTGATATCACTTCTCCTTTGCTTATGATCAAAAGATACTGAGTTCTATGCTTTGTATTGTATTATGGCTTTATCTCTGCACCAGACAAATCTAACTCAGTAAGCAGAAGTTTTAAAAGTTTTACCTTGGAAAAGGGGGCATTATTGAAGTTTAAGTTAATCTGCAATACAGAAAGAACAAAGTTCCTGAATAGTGTGTACAGACTTCTGTGTGTGGCTTTACTTAATATCCACTATTTGTATGTTTTAGTTGCAATGTCCATTTGTCCTTATATTTTCCATTGTAAATGAAGACATTTGGATTACTTTAGTAGTTGTCTTCAGAAATTCACCACCAGTAACATTGTAATTGTGCTCTGAGGCTTATTCTTTGATCTTTATTATAGATTAATGTTTAACATTCCTTTTCTAGGTGACTGAAGACTTCCTGGCAACATACCATGCTAACTATGGCATCCCTACAGATAGTTCAGACAGTTCCTCTGCTTCAAAGACCGAAAAAAAGCCAGCTGTGGAATCTAGGATGGTAGAGGCACCGAAGTCAACAAATAAAAAAGCATCCCAACAGACAGATTCTAAACAAAAAGGAGAAAAAAGAAAACTTGAAGCGGGTAAGGGTCTCCATTTTGCATAAGATGGAAAATATACAATAGTTAAGAAAAACGAATGAATAAATATAATTTTATATTAGTATTATGCACAGTAGAGATGGTCAAGCACCTATTCTGAAAATTTTTTAAACACTTCTGAAATTTCATAGCATTTATTAGGTTTTAAAAGCCTTATTTCTAACTTGAAAGGTAAATCAAGTTACTGACAGTGTTCTGAGCTCTCTAGGGATAAGTGGAAGGTTGGAAATTTAATTATTTAAATTTACAAATGAGAGCTGAGTTAAAATCTATTCTTTTTTTAGTGTTTTAGCACAACTCATGGAATTATGATTCTGTTTTAGGATGGTTTCATGTTGAAGAAGACAAAAACACAAATGTGTACGTGACAGGTAAGTTATTGCTTTTTAAAAAATATATATACTGCCTAAGGGGGGCGTGTGTGTGTGTGTCTTGGTTATATAAATTGCCTATCTCTGATCCAGAGCACATACTTAATATGTGATCCACGCTATTAAGATATCTCTTTGACTGACTCCATCTTCTCTAGCCCATGAAATAATGAATGACTTATGCTCAGATTTGATTGTATAGCATCCCTATGACAACTACAGCAATTGCTTACATGGAAAGGTAGTACAGTAAACTTCTGATAATCCGGCACCTTTAGGGCCCAGGGGATGCCAGATTATCAAATATGCCGGACTCGGAAAGGGGGGCTGATAATCTGGCACCTTTAGGGCCCAGGGGATGCCAGATTATCAAATATGCCGGACTCGGAAGGGGGGGCTGTGAGGGGTTTGGGGTGGGGTGGGTGGGATGCCACTCCAGACCCCTCATAGCCCCCCCTTCCGATAGTCCGGCTCTGCCCCAGGCGTCCCTGATTCTGCCCCAGGCGTCCCTCCTCGGCGCTACTGGACCAACCCGGCAGCACCCCAGCTTCTCCGCCCCAGGTGTCC